GCTGGCGCGGCATCGTGGGCTGCTCGGCCGAAGGCGCCGCGCAGCGTGTTGCGCGCTCAGGGGCGCGCGTCTGCCTGGCCGGGTCCTGGTTGCGCGTCTGCAGGAGGCCACCGCCGGTAAAGGGCCCGTGACGGGGACGGCGGGCTCGGGCGACGCCTCGGGCTGGTACCGACGCTCAGAGGCCGTCGTCGCCTTCGCGTGTTGCTGCGGTCGAGCGACCGGGCTGTCGGCTCTCCTCCTGCAGACGGGTCTGCAGCAGACCGCCGGTGAACGGGCTCTCGAGGGGCGGCTCCTCGGCGGTGGCGTCGAGCTGAAATCTCCGTTCCGGGGGCGCAGACGGTCTCCTCTTCGTGTTGCTCCTGTCCAGTGACCTCGCTTGCCGGCTCGGCTCCTGCAACCGACTCTCCTCTTGCAAGCGGTTCTGCAGGAGTCCACCTGTAAAGGGCCCCTCCGCCGGAGAATCATCCGATGTCCTCTCGGCCAGCTCGGCGTGGTGCTTGCGATCCTCGTATACCTTGCCCAGCAGCCCATTCGACTTGAACTCGTCTTCCCGCGCAAAAGGGTCGATGCGCTGCGGCGGCGAGACGGGCGCGCGGGGCGAGTGCAGAGGGCTGGCGATCGCCTGCCGCGTCGCCGTCGTGGGTCTGGCCGTGGCCTTCTGCACGGGTGGCCTCTGCTTCTCGGCGGGCCTTTCTGGCAGAAAGTCCTTGCCAAACTCTTCGAGCGGCTTATCGAACCTGTTCATATCGAGGAGCGGCTCGAACTTGCCAATGGTGTACGGCGTCTCGTCCACGGACACCTTCAGGCGGTGGTGCCCGCTCTTGACAATATCTGTCGGCTTTTCCACGTGGAGCCGGTCGTGGTTCGTCTGCAGCGCCTTTTCCTTCTTGGCGAGGTCGACCTTTTTGTTGACCAGATACCAGCTGCGCCACTCCTGGACGCTCTTGTGCAGCTTGCGGGCGGCCGTCGTGTCGTCGGTGCTGAGAAAGTGAATGAAGTTCTCCGTGTTCAGGAAGACGCTGTTTTTCTGCTGGCTCTTGATGGCGAGCACGTGCTTCTTGGGCACCTTGAGACGCTTCAGCATGTCCTGGTCGGTCACCTGGTAGACGTCGAAATCGGAGAGGTTGCAGAGGGCGGTGCTGTCCTTGTCGGACAGCTTGGCGTCGGGCTTCTTGTGCGAGTAGACCTGGCCCGTCTCGAGCAGGGTGATGAGGCGCTTGTTCCAGCGGCCGGGCCTGTGCGACAGGTGCATGGGGAAGTTGATGAAGCCGGGCGGCGCATCGTGCGAGCGCGGCACAGGCTCGATGCTCAGGTCCGAGCTGATGTCTGCGGCGCCGCCCGGGATGATGAGAAGCGAGTGTTGGACGTCGCGCTCCCACGAGTTGAGGATGTCTCGGATGCGCTCGTAGCGCCGCAGCGGACGCTCGAGACCGAAGGAGAAGTAGCACTCGACGACGATGCTCGATGGAGGGTCGATGTTGTGGCTCATGAGATTGGCGGCGGAGAATAAAAGGTCCACGGGCGAGGTATCAGGCGTGACGGGCAGGCTGATGGAGGACTGCATGCATCGGATCGTCACTCGCTGGGAGGATGGTCAGCCGGGCGAGCGAGGTTCGCAAGGCACGCGGGTGAGGTCCGCAGAGATCCGCAAAGCACGCGAGCGAGGGGCAGGTGGGCCAACTTACGCGGTCGCCTGCGTTGCTGGCGGAGTGAGGGGCATCTAGCTGGGGCACGACGCCGCCGCCGACGCCGCCCGCGTGGATGAAGTTATTGGAGGGCATGGCTGTGGCTGGCGGAGGAGGAGGATGAGGAGGTGGAGGAGGTGGTGGTGGTGGTGCCGTGTTTTCAAGAGGAACAAGGTCGATGTAGTCGCATGGCGCTTCAGATCGTCTTGTCGTAATGTAGTACCAGCTTCCGAAATCGCCCAGGCAGTCGCTCAACGGGACGTTGTCGATCCACGGGAACTTGCCTGCCTTGTGATCGTCCGCTTCCGCTTTTCTGGTCTGCAGCAAGAGTTTGGCTGCCGAGGATGTTTGCTTGGGTGGGGCTGATTGCTATGAAAGGAAGCAGTTTCCCGATGCCCCTGGCAGTCGTCGGAAGAAGATCGATCGTCGACTTCACACGATGTGTGTTGGAAAACGAAAAAAAGGTCCCCAGAACAGAGGAGGACTAGGTGGTCGGCAATGTCAAATCGCAGAAAGTGTGTCTCAAGGGATGCCAAGTCGGTCAACGGTCCTCGCGAAAGGAAAGGGGGCTGCCATTGTGCGCCCGAGGGCTGTCGAGGGGGGGGAGGCGAGGTTGTGGGAGGGGAGGCCCGGTCCCTGGAATGGAAAACGCGGGGGGGGGGGAGAGAGAGAGAGACGGTACGAGGTTGGGTGATGGATGGTCCACGGTCCCTGGTCCCTGCCTGGTCCCTGGTCTCTTCGGGTGGGACGAGCAGCCCAGCAGCCGACAAAGCGCGAGAGGCGTTGCGTGTCGTTCCTCTGGGCGCTATTTCGCTCACAGGCTCTATCTGTCTGCCCTTGCTGTGCCCTTGCTGTGCCCTTGCACCGCTTTGTTGCTTTTGAAGGGGCCGAAGCAATAATACGCCGGCGGGCCACGGCAGAAGGAAGAGAAACTTTGCTGTGAGCTGCAAGTCTCAATTCGTGATGACATGGTCTGGGTGCCCGCTGAGACGATCGGCCCACCATTCGTTTCGATCGTGATCGTCGCGATCCGCTGGCAAACTTTGTGCCTCTGCTGTCGCTACCTAGGTAGGGTACATACCTTCCTGACCATGTAGGTATCCAGGTAGGTGCCTAGGCAAGGCAGGTAGGCATCATCGCCTGGGGCTGGCTGGGTAGGTCGCCTAGCGATTAAGGGTAGCATAATTCGCCGCTACCTTGCGAACGTACCTGCAGGTCCGTAGGGCCAGAGGCTACTTACTGATGGACTAGCCCACCCGTCATTATTCCCTGCAAGGGCACCCGAGCTGGGCGGTCCGTGAGGTTTCACTGCACTACATTTCGGCGTAAAAATACTTTCCGCCCTGCCGTTGCTACTTTGAGCCATGCAGGGTCTCGCCAGTGTGTGGGGGCGCAACCCTAACCCTGGTGGGATATGCCTTGGTGGTAGGGAGACATGCGTACATGTACATGTAGCTGATGGCCATCTACACGTACACATATCTTTTTCCCAGCTCCCAAAGCACCATCTCCTGTGGCTGGCCACAGCACGAAGAATGTGCATGACGCATAAGGTATGAGTAGCACCGTGGCGTCCAACCCGAGGACCGACCCGTCGGGTGCGTGTATTGTCTCAAGCCACCTAAACATAATTAGATCTGATCCTGATCACCATTTCGAAAGGAAAAAAAAAGTATGAACAACAAAAAGCTAATCGTATTGATCCGTGATGCTATTCCTCGTGTCCCCTTGCACCCAAGGTAAACAATCTCGGAACGGGACTTGGATCCCCAACGTCATCTTCCCATTGTCCAGTGATATCCAAGGAAATGGAGGCCCCCATTCACATCTGGTCCTGGCCAGGTCATGCCATCCCCGCCAGCCCATGTCGAGGCCTCGACGCCCTAGCACTTGGCCGTGTAGCAGTTTCCGCCGGTGCTGCAGCAGCTGCGGAAGCCACGGAAGCAGGGGCTGCACATCTGCCGCTTCTCGAGGTCGTTGTCCACCGTCTCGGCGCCGACGGGCGAGGGCAGAGCCACGGCGGCCGTGGAGAAGAAGGCGACGACGCCGACGAAGACGGTAGTGAACTTCATTTTCGATTGGTGTGTGGCTTTATCGCCATTCCTTGTTAGCCTCTTTAACGCGTGTGGAATCATCGCAT